GCCACTGGATTAGCTGGGATTACAGGTGCCTGCCACCACACCCGGCTAATTTTTGTATTTTTAGGAGAGACGGAGTTTTACCACGCTGAGCAGGCTAGTCTCAAACTCCTGACCTCAGGTGATCCACCTGCCTTGGCCTCTCAAAGTGCTGGGATTATAGGCATGAGACACTGGCCTGGCCTGTCTGTTTAGTTACAAATAGCAGTGAATTTTCCAAACTGAAATACACTAGATGCAGTAATATATAGAAAAAGAGCTTTGTCTGCTGTATCTAAATTCATAGACTTGTAAATTCCAGAGTAGTCAACAGATTTGTGGAAGTGCTTTTGAAACTCAAGGATTAAGAGTTTTGCTAACTTCTTTAAAATATTTTAATTAAATGTTATTAAAGATTTAAAAATTAAATTTGTATTAAATAATAATATTTGTTGGCAGAAGAACATTGATAATACTTTTGAAGTATCCTTAGCTTCCTTTCCTGATCCATGCCTACCCTTCCTTTCTAGTAGGTAAATATTATTCTCAATTCTGTATTTATCATTCTAATTATTTTCTTTGTTATTTTGCTATACACACACACACACACCCCTAAACAATATATTTTTATACTTCTCAAGCTTACAAAAAGTGTTCATTTTTACATTATTTTCCTGAGATGATCGATTTGTTGCTTGTATTTATTCATTTTTCACTGTTGTTTGGGATTCTGTTACGTAAACACACAAGAGCATATTTACCCATTCTGCTCTGGATGGGCATTTAGGTTCCTTTTTTTTTTTTTTTTTTTTTTTTTTTTTTTTCTTGAGACAGAGTCTTGCCCTGTCACCAGGCTGGAGTACAGTGGCACAATCTCGGCTCACTGCAGCCTCCACCTCCCGGATTCAATCGATTTTCCTGCCTCAGCCTCCTGAGTAGCTGAGACTACAGGTGTGTGCCACCATGCCCAGCTCATTTTTGTACTTTTAGTAGAGATGGAGTTTCACCATGTTGGCCAGGATGGTCTTCATCTCTTGACCTCATGATCTGCTGGCCTTGGCCTCCCCAAGTGCTGGGATTACAGGCATGAGCTACTGGGCCCAGCCTGTTTCCTTTTTTAATCTACACAAAATGGGTTTCTTTGATGTTATTGGTGCGTATCTTACGTTGCAATGCACAGGAATTTTTCTGATATACCTAGGAGTAAAATTGCTGGGTCATAGCATATGCATGCCTTTAATATTAGTAGATAAATTGTTTTCCAAAGTGGCTGTGCCAGTTTACACTCACAGCAGCAGACTTTCCCTCCCCCCCCCCCCCCCCCACTTTTTCTTGAGGGATGAGAGGTCACAGTCTGTGAAGTTGAAATGCATGTGTTGTTTTCAAGGTTGTGTTTTTTTTGTTTCTGTTTTTTAAGAGATGGGAGTCTCACTCTATCACCCAGGCTGGCAGTGGCGTGATCATGGTCATTGCAGCCTGAACTCCTGAGCTCAAGAGATCCTCTACCTCAGCCTCTCGAATACCTGGGACTACAGGTGCGCATGATCATGCCTGGCTTTTTCCCCAAGGTTTTATACTTATTAGTTATACATGTATTAAAGAGTCAACCATAAGCTTTGTAATGGAGGTAAGGGGCAGCATTGCCTTGCTTTCTCACTTTTTTGACCCTGAAGTGTGACCACTTTTATCCCTTTTCACTTTTTTGGTGTCTATTTTGGTACCTGTTTTGCATGTCAGAAGCTTACCTCCAGTTTGAAAATGAAGAACTAAAAGTGTATTAGAAACTCTGAGTGGAGCAGGAGGCTGTGTTGACTGTTTCTCTGTAGGGTAATGTGGGTGTGCTGGTTGTCAGTGTCTGCCCGTCACATCAGTATCTTTAGAGCTGAAGCCTGTGGGATGCTTCAGAGAAGACGCTTGTCCTAACCTCTGTCCAAGGTGGTGGAAGAGGAGTAAATGGCCCATGGCCTGCAGTCTGGGAGCCCAGTGGGGAAGACTGCTTAGTGATGAGTATGTCTGCATTTATCTCTCACCCCTGTTTTTGGTAGGGTGCCCTTGCCCTCACATGTGTTCAAAGTGCCCCAGTCTCTTTCTTTTACTCTCTAGAGACAAGTAAGCGGTCTTCTGTGGCATGGGAGAGGAGAGGCACACATCCAATGGCATTTCAAAGAGCCTCTCTACCAGTTCTCCTTATTTTAGTTGACCCCTCTTCACAGCCCCCCCTCCAGAGTTATCTGGTACAGCCAGATCCTAAGCCTAAGTCTTTTGGGGATTCTGTCATGTAAATTAGGTTACTTGGTTTAAGAGTTTCCTTTTCCATGTGGGTAAAATCAGCTATGGCTAGTTCAGTTTGGCATCCAGCTAATAAGAATGTGGTGGTGGTTTTTTCTGTTCCCATTCTCTTTGTTGTGACGGGTTTTGGAATTTTAAAATTGCTAATTATGTTTACTGTAGTTTTCATGGAGGTCTCTTTGGGATTTTAATTTGTATTTCCTTGATTATTAAGAGAGTTCACATCCTTTCACGTGCCTATTCATATTAATTTTTTGGTCTTGTGCCTATGCAAGTCATTTGCCCATTTTCCTTTTTTTCTTTTTCTTTTGGGATGGAGTCTTGCTCTGTTGCCCGGGCTGGAGTGCAGTGGCATGATCTCAGCTCACTGTAACCTCTGTGTCCCTGGTTCAAGTGATTCTTCTGCCTCAGTCTCCCAAGTAACTGGAATTATAGGTGTCCGCTGCCACACATGGCTAATTTTTTGTATTTTTAGTAGAGATGGGGTTTCACCATGTTGGCCAGGCTGATCTAGAACTCCTGATCTCAGGTGATCCACCTGCCTCAGCCTACCAAAGTGTTGGGCTTACAGGTGTGAGCCACCATGCCTGGCCCTGTTTGTCCATTTTCTAAGCACTGAGTTTTTTGTCTTTTAAAAATTGACTTGTGGGGAGGGGAGAAGGAGAAAAAAAATTAATTAATTTAAAAAAATTGACTTGTGACTGGGCATAGTGGCTCACACCTGTCATCCCAGTGCTTTAGGAGGCCAAGGTGCGAGTTTTGCTTTAGGCCAGGTGTTCAAGGCCAGCTTGGGCAACATAGCAAGAAACTCTCTCTAAATTAATTTAAAAAAAAATACATTAGCTGGACATGGTGGCACATGTCTATAATTCTAGCTACTTGGGAGGCTGAGGTGGGAGGATTGTTTGAGCCCAGGAGTTCAAGGCTGCAGTGAGCCATGACTGCAGCATTTCACTCCAGCCTGGGCAGCAGAGTGAGAGATCCTGTCTCTACAAAAAATAATAGTATAATTTGTAGGAGTTAGATATTCTGAATCCCAGTTCTTTGGCAGTTTCTGGATTAGCTCTTCACTTTGTGGTGTGGAACTTTTGGTGAATAAAGTTTCTTTATTTTTATTTGTTTTTTTGAGAGACAGATTCTAACTCTATTGCTCAGACTGGGGTGCAGTGGCACAATGTGATCATACCTTACTGCAGTCTCAAACTCCTGGGCTGAAGTGATCCTCCCAACTCAGCCTCCCATGTAACTGGACCTACAGGCATGGCTATTTTTTATTTTATTAGTTGAAATGTGGTCTCACTGTGTTGCCCAGGCTGGTCTCGAACTCCTGGCGTCAAGTGATCCTCCCACCTTGGCCTCCCAAAGTGCTGAGATACAGGCACGAGCCACCTTGCCTGGCCTAGTTTCTTATATTTTGTCTGTTTTATTTAAGAAGTCCTTCCCTGGCCAGGCGCAGTGGCTCACGCTTGTAATCCCAGCACTTTGGGAGGCCAAGTTGGACGAATCACCTGAGGTCAAGAGTTCAAGACCAGCCTGGCCAACATGGTGAACTCCCATCTCTACTAAAAATACAAAAATTAATTGAGCATGGTGGTGGGCACCTATAATCCCAGCTACTTGGGAGGCTAAGACAGGAGAATCACTTGAACCCAGGAGATGGAGGTTACAGTGAGCCGAGATTGTGCCACTACTCCAGCCTGGACGACAGAGACAGACTATGTCTCAAAAAAAGAAAAAGTCCTCTCCTACCCTACCCCAAAGTTATAAAACATTCTCCTGTATTCACTTGTAAAAATTGTATAGTGTTGCCCTTTGCCCTTCACATTTAAGCCTTTAATCTACTTGTATTGATTGAAAATATGTATGATTGATAACATACAATCTGCTTTTATTTTTTTCATATAAGTAACTGGCTTCACACATACTTATTGAAGAGTCCAGCCTGTCTCTGAGCAGAGTGTCAGCTCTGCTGTGAATCATATTTTCGTCAGCCTTTGGTCTTTTCCTGGGTGTTGTCTTCTGGTTCATCTGTCAGTTCCTCCACTACCCCATTCTCACATTCTCTTTGTCTCTAGAAACTCTGCATGTTCTCTTGCTCTTTACTCATTATCTTTTGTTTCTTTAACAAAGTAACAAAATAGGAATTAAATACACAACTGAAGACTTTTTTTTTTTTTTTTTTTGAGATGGAGTCTTGCTCTTTTGCCTAGGCTAGAGTGCAGTGGTGGGATCTCGGCTCACTGCAACCTCTACCTTCCAGGTTCAAGCAATTTTCCTGCCTCAGCCACCCAAGTAGCTGGGATTACAGGCACCTGCCACCGTGCCTGGCTAATTTTTGTATTTTTAGTAGAGATGGGGTTTCACCATGTCAGCCAGGCTGGTCTTGAACTCCTGACCTCAGGTGAGGAGGAGCCTCAGCCTCCCAAAGTGCTGACATTATAGGCGTGAGCCACCGTGCCTGGCCTAAAAAAATTTTTTTTGTTGGATGGGATTCTGTTTCATGAATATACCACAATTTATTCATGTTCTTAATGATGAATACTTAGGCTGTTTTCTGGTTATAAAGAGCGCTTCTATGAGTGTCTTAAGGACACAGTCTCAATGGGAGCGGGAGCATTTCTTTAGGATAAATACCTGCAGGTGGAATTACTGGGTGGCAGCGTGTACACACCTCACCCTTGTTAGGTGTTGTCATATTGTTCTCCAGAGTAGTTGTTTGACTTTTTTTCTTTCAGTTCCTGAAGACCTCTCATTAGAAGAGAGAGAAGAACTTCTCGACATTCGCCGAAGAAAAAAGGAACTTATTGATGACATTGAGGTAAAGAAAACCCAAAAAACCCAAAACTTTTTCTTGCTTATGAGTAAAAAAAAAAAAAAATAACTTCACAAAAAATGTAAAAAAAAAAAAAAAAAAAAAAATTATTCAGTGTGTGCATATAAGAATCACAGAAAGACAGTGAAAAAGTTATCAAGTTGGGAGGGAAAGCAGACTCCACACAGGCAGTGAGACCCTGGGTAGAAATCAAGACATTGTGGAACTGAGGTCAGCAGTAGCCAGCTTGCGAACCCAAAGCCACAGACAGCGTGTCATCTAATAGCAGCAAGCCACCAGTGCATTGCTCTGTCAAATTGTGCACCCTCTTTGGTTAACCACTAGGTTAATGTTCTAGCACCTAGAACATTGCCTGTTCCATTTTGGGGACTCAGATACCCTTTGAATGAATGTGTAGGCAGGTATTGGGTTCCAGCTGTGTATCGAGTGCCTACCAGGTGGTAGAAGTAGAATGACACATTAGGCTGGGTGCAGTGGCTCATGCCTGTAATCCCAGCACTTTGGGAGGCCAAGGCGGGAGGATCCCTTGAGCCCAGGAGTTCAAGACCAGCCTGGGCAACATGGTGAAACCCCATCTCTACTAAAAAATACAAAATAGTCCATCTTTATAAAAAGTACCCCATCTCTATAAAAAATACAAAACTTAGCTGGGCATGGTGGCATGTACCTGTAGTCCCAGCTACTTGGGAGGCTAAGGTGGGAGGATCACCTTAGCCCAAGAAGTTAAGTCTACGGTGAGCTGTGATTGCCCCACTGCACTGTAGACTAGGCGACAGAGCAAGACCCTGTCTCAAAAAAAAAAAAAAAAAGACACATTAAACAAAGGGGAATAAAAACACACGCACACAAACATGGGCTTTTCCACATTTGTGTTGTGTACTTTACTCAAAGGACAGGGTAGAGGGTGGTCCCACAGGAGAAGCACGTGAACAAAGCCACAGTCTCAGTGTGGGAGAGCCTGTGATTGTTAGACCAGTGCATTGCTCTGTCAAATTGTGGCCAGCCTTGGCTCCTTCTGTTTGGGGCTTCCTTGGGAAAGTCAATCAGACATGGAGATCTTCTTTAAGAAGCTTCCTAATCATTGTCATTGCCAAAATAAATGTGGCTTCACAGGTCGTGGCAGGGACAGGTCTTGTCCCAGACAATAGCTCCTTTCTAGGAGCTTGCATTTTAAGTCTGAGTGTCTTGGCATACAGAATAATAGGGTCCTGAATAAAAATGTCTTTGTATTTGAAAAGAGATTCATGGAAATTTTTATTCTAAGGTTACCCTTCATTCTTGGAAAAATCAGATAATCCAGAATTGGTTCTCTGGTTGAAGAATAAGGCTGCATATTATTTGGACATTAGTCATCACCCTGCCGATAAATGTGGACTCATAATCTAGCTCTAACTACTTCATTTTATCAGTGAGAGCACCGAGGCCCAGGGAAATTAGAGACTTCCAGAGGCCTCTCTCATTAGTAAGGGCCACATCAAAGGAAATGGAGGTCTGTCCCCCAAGATGCCTTTGGCTTCTCTGAGTGCCCTGAGTCAGTTCTTTTCACTCCCCTGAGCTCTGTGTATGGTGCTTCATCTCATTCAAGGTGATAGAAGTGATCCTGAGACCACCAACCTAAACACACCTGAGCTTCAGCCTGAGACCAGTGATGTAAGCCTGAGGCACACCCCAGCCTCAGCTTCTCCCCAAGAACATGGACAGTGTTGAAGGAGGAGGCAGGTGACTGTGTGCAAGGCAGGGCTGAATAGTGCAGTTTGCAGTATTGTTGGTTTTATCTTTTTTTTTCCCACTAGTCAAAGTCTTGCAGTTTGCTGGTTTTTTCTCCCCCCTTCCCCCACCCCCCCCAAGAGACAAAGTCCTGCTCTGTCTCCCAGACTGGAGTACAGTGGTATGATCATGGCTTCCTATAGCCTGGAACTCCTGGGTTCATGCAATCCTCCGTCCTCAGCCTCTCTGGTAGCTAGGACTACAGATGTGTACTACCACGCTCAACTAATTTTTCTGTATTTTTGTAGCAGTGGGGCCTTACTACATTGCCCAGGCTGTTCTCAAACTCCTGGCCTCAAGTGATCTCTCTGCTTCAACCTTCCTAAGTGCTGGGATTGCAGGCATGAACCACCACTCCTGGCTTGGTTTTATCTTTTTACAGCTATGATATTCCCTCCCAGTGTCTCTTCTTGATTTCATATACAGACACCCCAGGATCTGCATAGTGGACTCTTCTGAATCTGGTATTTGATGAAAAGTGAGCAAATAATTTTGTTTTCTCCTAAGTTGTGGTGGCTTTGACTGTGAAGTTCTAGCTGTATTGATAATAGTATTGCTTTTTCCATCCCTGTGACTATGCTCAGATGAGTCCTCAGGGAAGCTTGTTATAGAGGACTGAAATTTCTCTGAGTCTCAGGGCAGGAAGGTTAAGATCCACCTCCCACCTCAAAATTCTTTTTTGACAGAGGCTGAAATATGAAATTGCAGAAGTGATGACAGAGATCGACAATCTGACTTCCGTTGAGGAGAGGTAATGATATGACTACACCTTCAAGCTATTTACTCTTTTTTTTCTGCCTTCATCCTTTAGTCAAACTTGCAAAAAGTAGGGTGAGAGTGGTGGGATGTGGGGAGCCTGTGGAGTTGTTAATTCTTCTCCTGTCCCCCTGCTCCTTTCTGCTTCTCATGGAGAGGTTCAGGGGTGTTTCTCTGGATATTACTTCTCATCGCCTCCTCTCTCTAAGTCATCATCTAGCTTTATAGATTTAGGCATAAGCACAGGCACTTCAGGGTTCACCCGCACAGAAATTAACCTGTCTGCATCATAAGGAGCTGTGCTTTATTAAAATCACTGGTTTGCATCATTAGTTTTTTCTGAAGTATCTCTTAAGTTATCAAATGTAAAAAAGAGTAACAGCGGCTGCACCACTCCTGCTGCCCCCGCGGAGGCTGGAGGCCCCTCTGTGAAGGCTTGTGCTTTTCTTCCTTGAGCCCATTGTTGAGGGGAAAGTACACTGGAGGGCCATGACTCAGCTGCACTATGAAAACTCCGTGAGTGATTTTTAAATTATTTCTCACCAATAGCAAAACGACTCAGAGGAACAAACAGATAGCCATGGGAAGAAAGAAATTCAACATGGATCCCAAAAAGGTAAGAGAATACTCTCCATTTTCTGGCCTGCAGGAGATTGACTGATTGATTTGAATTGCTGTCTCCCTTTTGGACAGAAGTCAGAAGTGGTCGGTGATAACACCTCATAAGAGGCTGGGAGTTGAAGGCACATTTTTATCAAAAAGGGGCTGTTCACGAGTAGGGTGAAGCAGAAGTGCCTTGTAGGGCTGGTGCCCTGAACAGAAAGGCCTTTCTTCCAGAGTGAGCTGCTGGGTGAGGAAGCGGCCTCCCAGGCCTGCCTCAGATGACTCCAGGCAGCGCCGTTGCTATTGAGGCTCATGTTCTTGTCTTCCCGCTCGAGCTGGGCCCTACAGTCAGGCAATCACGTGATTAGGAAGGTGCAGGGATGGGAGTGGCCAGGTGTCCAGAGGTTATGAACTTTATAATCTGGGAGGGTTAAGTGGTTCACGTAACAGGACTTTATTCATCCATTCACCTTAGAAAGCAGGTGTCTGTGAAAGAACAAGGGATCCTCCACATTAAGCCAGGATCTTCGTCTTTCCTCAAGTTGAATTTTCTAGGGAAACACCTGAAAACAATGAAATCTGAAACATGTAGTGCTTGTTTTTGAAACTGAGCTAAAGGATTTGGCAGAATCTGTGAAGCTCTTTGGAAGACATTTTGGTTTTGAGAAAGAAGAGTAGACCTGAGTCTTCAGGGTCGAGGAGAGGAACGGTGTTTACATGGGAAGGTCTCGCTGCAGAGCTCGTCCTGTCCCTCCTGTGGACTCCAGTCAGTCTGCACTTGTAATGTTCCCCTTGCTTTTTTGGCATTGAGCCTCTGTGCTAATCAGTTAATTGTTTGTTCATTCAGAAATGTTTAATTGATTACAGAATTCCACTGTACAAGGTCTAAGATCTGTAAACTCATATATGTGCAGGTGCAGTTGCAGATGATGTTTACAGAAATTTGTGTCATTATTCCGTGCTCACGGTTTGCAGGTCAGGGACTGCAGGTGCGCCACACTGCATCTGGCTAATTTTTTAAGGGGAGGTTGGGTTTCACCATGTTGGCCAGGCTGATCTCGAACTCCTGACCTCAGGTGATCTGCCCACCTTGGCCTTCTAAAGTGCTGAGATTATAGACATGAGCCACCGTGCCTGGCCAGGTCTGGATTTTCTTAAGGTCCAGCACATCTGCAGCCGGAAGAGGGTTTTTGTTTAACACATACATTCTAGCCACTGTGAAAATTCTCCTGTTGCTTTCTAATTCTCTGCTTATGGGGCATAAATCAACTCCGAGATGAAATGAAAATTGTCAATTTCGTGAATTTAGAAATGATTTGGTATTTTGGGTAACAGCGTTTCTTTAAGGAGTTGGAACTGTGGAGTCAGATTGATCAGCAGATTTAATAAGCATTGGAAGCATCTCAGGATTCTTTATGAAAGTGGATGTTCTTAATACTGGACCTTATGTTTTAAGGGAACCCAAGTGGTGCAACACGGAGCAGTACACTAATTTCATAAAATACATACAAATAAATACTTATTTTTTAAAGGGATGCCACTGAGGCCAGGCGTGGTGACTCATGCCTATAATTCCAGCACTTTGGGAGGCTAAGGCAGGTGGATCATTTGAGGTCAGGAGTTCAAGACCAGCCTGGCCAACATGGGGAAACCCTGTCTCTACTAAAAATACAAAATTAGCCAGGCGTGGTGGTGGGTGTCTGTAATCCCAGCTACTCAGGAGGCTGAGGCACGAGAATTGCTTGAACCTGGGAGGCAGAGTTTGCAATGAGCCGAGATCGCGTCACCGCACTCCAGTCTGGGTGACAAGAGTGAGACTGTCTCAAAAAAAATAAAGTGATGCTACCACTGTGCATGAGTTTTCAGCTTCATGAGCATAAAGTTATCTTCATACCTATGAAGTCCTCTCTGTCAGGCTCTTGCCTGTCTTCCTGTTTTATATATATCGTATGTCAGATTTATAATAAGGGCCAACATTGAGAACTCACTGTTTGTCAGGAACCATGATGAGGAAGCACTTTAGTTAATACACTTAAGTTCCTATAGTAACCTTATAAAGTAGGAAGGGTCCATTTTAATTCCTCTTTCACAGTTGGGGAAAGTGAGGCACAGAACAGCCAAAGAACTCGCCACTGTCCTGAGCAGGGAACCTGACTCCAAGGCAGTCTGTGACTGCTACTATCTGCTGCACTGGGTAGAAGCCCCTGGGGTTGGTTTCTAGGTAGCCCTAAGCAGTCATCCCTGTGGCATTGGCTTACCACGGCCAGGGAAGTCTGTGTTTAACCCATTTATTATGCCTGAGGTTGCAGTTTTTTGAATTTTTTCAATCAGACCTTGGTGATGACCTTGGGCAGTAGGATATAAACAACCCCCACATGCTTAGCGTTCCAATAGTGGAACACTTGGCATAACCTGCTTTGCCTGGGCTGTGGCAGACTGCTCACCAGGCTTTATTTTTCTGTTCCTCTTCACCTAAAAGATTTAAAAACTATTGATTACTGATTGTACTTCTTTATAATTATGCTGCTTGATAAAAGCAGATGGTACATTGAGTCTGCATGTGGCCTTTTGCTGGGAAAAATTACCAAAGTCCCTTGGGTTTGTAGAGTTGGATATAGCACTTTTCTTAGTCTTCTTGAGCTTTCCTAACACAGTACCCCAGATGGGGTGCTTAAACAATGGAGATGTATTTTCTTACAGTTCTGGAGACTGGAAGTTTGAGATGAGAGTGCCAGCATGGTTCGCTTCTGATGAGGGCTTTCTTCCTGGCCTGCTAATAGCCACCTTCTTGCTGTGTCCTCACATGTTGGGGAGTAGAGAAAGCTTGCTCACTCTAGAGTGGTGTTCTTATAAGGGCACAAATCCCATCAGACCAGGACCCCTGTCAAGATCCCACCTCATGTAACCCTGATTACTTCTCTTTTTTTTTTTTAAGACAGAGTCTTACTCTGTTGCCCAGGCTGGAGTGCAGTGGCACAATCTCGGCTCCCTGCAACCTCTGCCTCCTGGATTCAAGTGATTCTCCTGCCTCAGCCTCCCGAGTAGCTGGGATTACAGGCGCCTACCACCACACCTGGCTAATTTTTTTGTATTTTTAGTAGCGATGGGGTTTCACTTTGTTGGCCAGGCTGATCTTGAACTCCTGACATTGTGATCTGCCTGCCTTGGCCTCCCAAAGTGGTGGGATTACAGAGGTGAGCCACCGTACCTAGTCACCCTGATTACTTCCAAAAGACCCCGTCTCCAGATAACATCATAATGGCAGTTTGGGTTTCAACATATGGATTGTGGGGGGGACATAGACATTCTTTTCACAGCTGCAGTGGATGATCTCACATCCTTCAGACAAAACTTAAAATTGTATCTACCTCCCCATACCCCTACTAAACATGTAACATTGTGAAACAAGGCTGTCAGAGTAAATAAATTCCTTCAGGCTAAGATGATGTTTTCTAAGTCTCAAGAGTATTAACACTTTAAACAAGGAGCTTTGGTTTCTTTCAGGTGCATTATTTCTAGAAGTAGCACTTGAGTTTATAAACGAGTAAGATGGAAGGTTTGATTCGATCAAGGAAGCTGAAAATGCTCTGCAGACTCTTTTTTTATTCCTGATTTATAAAATATATAAATCTATATGATAAGCAGGGGTTCAGTCAGTGGACTAGAAATTGAGGAATCCCTGAAAGGAGATAAATGGGATCAACTGAAGAAGGAAGCAGTGCCCACAGCACGCACAAGAAAGAACTGCTGTGGGTGGTGAGAGCAACGTCAGGGTTCCCTGAGCACAGAGGAGGTACGTTCAGGGAATAGGACTGTAGGAGGGACTGAGACTGGTCACCCTTTTGTGACCTTGTGCCTAGCAGCGATTGTGTCTCCAGGTGGGAAAAGCAAGAGGGAGCCCTTAGTCCATCAAAACAGGCAGCGTTCTTGGTGAGTGGCAGGACCAAGAAGGAGAAATACCAACTCCCAGAGACTAGCCATCCGCTGCCTGACCTGCTCCTCTGCCAGATCACTGGAGGCTTCTGCAGCGAAAACCAGAAGCAGGCAGCATTCTGTTAGACAAACAGGGACTCTTAAATACAAAGACAAACACCTCTCAAGCACCACCAAGTGTTTGAGGAAACCTACACCATGAAGGAGACATGAAACCGGACAAACAGAACTAAGGCTGGAGGAAACAGATCTAATAGAAACAACAGAGGCGTGGAGGGTGGCTCATGCCTGTAATCCTGACACCTTGGAAGGCCAGCAGGGAGGATCACTTGAGCTCAGGAGTTCAAAACCAGCCTGGGCAATGTAGCGAGGCCCTCAGTTTTTAAAAAATTCAGCCAGGCATGTGGTATGTACCTGTAGTCCTGGCTACTTGATAAGCTAAGGTGGAGGATCACTTGAGCCCAGGAGTTTGAGGCTATAGTGAACTATGATCGCACCACTACATTCCAGCCTGAGTGACAGTAAGACTTTGTCTCTTACCAAAAAAAAAAAAAGTCCTTTTTCAAGCTGGGTGTGGTGACATGTGCCTGTAGTCCAGCTACTGGAAGGCTGAGGCAGGAGGATTGCTTGAGCCCAGGAGTTTGAGGCTATAGTGAACTATGATCGCACCACTACATTCCAGCCTGAGTGACAGTAAGACTTTGTCTCTTACCAAAAAAAAAAAAAGTCCTTTTTCAAGCTGGGTGTGGTGACATGTGCCTGTAGTCCAGCTACTGGAAGGCTGAGGCAGGAGGATTGCTTGAGCCCAGGAGTTTGAGGCTGCAGTGAGCTGTGATTACACCACTGCAGTCTACCCTGGCAAACAGAATGAGAACTTATCTCTTAAAAAAGAAGCAGCAGGCCATGTGCAGTGGCTCACACCTGTACTCAGCACTTTGGGAGGTTGAGGTGGATGGATCGCCTGAGGTCAGAAGTTTGAGACCAGCCTGGCTAACAGGGTGAAACCCCATTTCTACTAAAAAATACAAAAAAAATTAGCTGGATGTGGTTGTGGGTGCCTGTAATCCCAGCTACTCAGGAGGCCAAGGCGGGAGAATTGCTTGAACCCAGGAGGTGGAGGTTGCAGTGAGTCGAGGTTGCAGTGAGCCAAGATTGCACCATTGTATTCCAGCCTGAGCGATAAGAGCAAGACTCTATCTCAAAAAACAAAAACAAAACAAAAAGCAAAAAAGAAACAATAAAGGAAATTTTTTAAAGTAGGATATTTGTCTACATTATAAATATCATCAAAGAGATACAATAGGACGTTTCTTATCCATAATACAAAAATGGGGGGTTGTGAAAAAGAACCTTGGAAATGAAAAGTAGGTCTATCACGTAATCTCTTGAGCACATGGAGAAGATGTAGCTGAAGAGTGGATGTGTGCTAAAAGAGCGTTTAATAATTCTTTGTCCAGATTTGCACAGAACTACAAGAAAATGTACAAGATGGGTCCAGCAGCCCAAATTTTATCTAATAGAAGTCTCAGAAGGAGAGAATGAAAAATGGAGGAGAGGAAATATTTCAAAGAAATCTTGAATATTTTAGAACTAAGAAAAACTCTTTAGATCCAAAGGCCCCACCAAATGCCAAGCTGGATAAAAATTTAAAAGGCTTATACACATAGATGTTTCAAATAAAATATTGTAAAACTCATGGATAGAGAAATTCATTAAATTTCCAGGAAGGAAATATCAGCTTACCTAAGAAGAAATGAGAAGCATAGTGAGCTTATCAGGAAACACTGGATCAAAGACGGCAGGGAAGCAGTGCTGAGGAAAAGTGACTTAAAACCCAGAATTCTGTGTGCCCTATCACTCATGAGAGAAGGTGAGTAAAGACATGTTCAGACACACAAGGACTTCTCTGATCTCTAGGAATTGTGTAGTTGGAGTATGATACCTCAAAACAAGAAATGATTACACAGGATCAAAAAGGAAAGCCATGCAAGGAAACAAGCAAAATGAGAAACTGATTGTTTAAAAGGTGTTTTTTTTTTTTTTTTTTCCATTTTTTTACTGAACATCTCTTTCTTGATAAAAGATGTTTTTTTTTAAGTCCAGATTTATGTCAACATGTAAGTAACAGAGGGAAAGGAAGGAGGGAAGTAATAGCTAAGGTTTTCTAGATGGTGATAGATAAAATAAGTTTAAATACTTGTCAAAATTTTAAGAGTAATCACTAAGGAGAAATAAAATAGGATTTTAAAAAATTATTAAGAAAAATTGAATAAAAGTTAAATCAGTTCATCACAAGCCTGGAAAGGCATGTGACATAGAAAGCACCAAATAAGGGCTCAGACAGTAAGTCCTAACTAGTCAGTGCTTGCCACAGATTTGATTGGGCTAAATTAATGACAAGACAGACACTTGGGTATTAAGTTAAAAAAAATAAAATCCAGCTGTCTTCCGACTGCTACTCACACCTAGAAGTAGGAGGTCTATAAAGGAATCATGTAGAAGAGAAACGGAAAAAGATAAACAGTAGGTATAGTGGGTCAAATGGTGCCACCGCCCCCATTTCTGCTGTTTGACTTTCTAAATGGCATTTTAAAATACTAACATTTTCTAATGTTAGAACACTCACTTTCTTTTATGAGTATTTACCTAGTGTATTAGTATTTTAAGGCTCCACGTCAAATGACCACAAACTTGGTAGTTTAAAACAAGAAATCTATTGTCGCTCAGTTCAGTAGGCCAGAAGTCCAAGATCCCGGGTGTGGGCAGGATTGCTGCTTAGACTCTGAGGAGAAGTCCTTCCAGCCTTGCTCCTGGCTTCTGGCGGCTGCCGCCCTCCTGGTCTCCACAGCTGTGGGCGCCTCACTGTGGTCTCGGCCTCCATCGTCGTGGCCTCCTCTCGCCTTCTCCTCTGTCTCATAGGACACATGTGATTGGACACAGAGCTTCTGTGTCCTCCTTCTCTGCTTTTCTCTGTGTCACCTTCCAGATAGCATTCTCCAAGAAATGCTCTAGTTTTTTTGGATGTTCTGAATTTTAGGGCACATCTTGAGCATCCAGAGGGATTCATGGAAACCTCATGCCCAAGTCCATTCAGTTCCTGGGACTTCAGCTGACAGTGGCAGGGGTCTTTGCCATGCAAGGTCAGACCCCCAGCCTTGGGGCCTCAGAGATGACAGGACAACTAGTGATCCCTGAGGGTGTCCCTGCCTCCCCCTACCACCTGCAGCTGATGGCCTCACCAGGCTTCTCCACCTGCTTTACTTGTTTTCCTCACTTGCAGCCAGTAGCAAAGCCCTAGACTGTCTCTCCTGCCTCAGGCTTTGTTTTCAATGAACTTGGGCTGGATTAGGGATGTCTAAGGACCAGTCCTGCATTGCTACAGCGTATGTGTGTCTTGCAATTTAGATGGTTTCCCTGTGGGTATACCCACTTAAACTCCTACCAGAGATACATATGAGAATTGATTTAGGATTGTTAGACTTAACTGATTTTTTTTGAGAATAATGTATTAAATTATGGTGCACAAATTCCAAATATAAAGAATCTTTGTAAATTAGTATACTCACATAACTGCAACCCAGAACAAGCTGCAGTTGTAGACTATTACAGGGTACCTTTCCGATGCCTTATCCTAGGGAATTCACTCCCCAGGGCAACCAGTCCTTAATCACTGTAAGTTAGTTTTGCCTTTTTAAAACCTTCTGTGAATGGAATTGAAATACTCTTCCATGTTGTCTTTTGTTACATATCATGTCTGTGAGAGTCATTCATGTTAGTGACTGTTCATTCCATTGCATTGCTATATAGTCTTCCATTGTGTGATTATGCCAGAATGTATTGATCAGTTCTCTTATTGGCTGTTTGCAGCTTTTGGAAATAAGGCTGCTGTGGACACTCGTGTATTTAAAAAAATAACAGGAAGTCTCTGGACGGACCATGGGAGTACGAGGCAGCCCTGGTCTTGGGTACTGAGAATCTTAGCTGGATAGAGCCTCTCTGAATTTGTAGAAATGGCTTCCTGGCAAATTGATTTCTGAATTCCCCATTCCTTTACCAGCCTTGCCAACACATACTTTGAAACTAGTTGCAAAGCTATGTCAGAGGTAAAAATTTCTATTATTATAGGTTCCTGGGACTTGTCATGAGACAGTGCTCAGCTGATTCAGGCCAGGTGCAGCCTGTTGCCTTTGAGATTACCAGCTCTGCTGCAGCACGTAGGGTGGGCATGAACTTTGACTGTCATGAGCTTGGTGGCACATTATGCCAGTTAATATGTTTTTGGTATCAGGTAGCAGAAAATCCAACAAAAAAATGTCTACACAGTGGAGGTTTATTTTCTCACACAGCTGTGTAGCAGCAGTAGATGGCTTCTGAGTGGCAAGAACGCGATCCCTGTGCTCATCTCAGGGTTCCCCACATAAGATGGCCACTATGGCTCTTATGTAGTGGCCTCTACGTCATCACATCTGTGTTCAAGGCAGAAAGGAGGCAGAAGAGCAGTGCTGGCTCATGGGCCCCTTTTTACGAGGAAATGAAAAGCTTTCCCTCCAGGCTTCTCTTTCTGTCTGTTTGGCTACATTTGGGTCGAAAGGTTATTTCTAGTGCCAAAGGCAGCCAGAAAAGTGCCTCTCTAGTGAAGGGATGTCAGGGAGCGGGGACTGGTACCACCTGCTCCCTGCCTCTTTGGGACTGGTGCCAGGTTGGCCAAACAGCAGTGGCCACCACCCACAAAGCGTTCCTCGCAGACACAATAATCCATCTTCCTAAGCTTGGGAAATCTAACATTATTGTTACTTCTGCCTTTATAGTTTCTATTAACCACTTGTAATGGTTTGTTCAGTAACCCATTTATTTGTCTTTTAACTTGTTAAACTGCCAGGAGGAATGAATGTGCATTTCTTTGTATAAAATGTAGTATGGAGTTGGGAAAATGTGCATTTCTTTGTATAAAATGTAGTATGGAGTTGGGAAAATCAGGTTGTGCAGTTGTATGGGTGTCTCTGGTATTATTTTTGCAGTGTCCATACCAGTAAAATCATGACACTAAGTGTATTTCTGCCTTTGAAAAATGAGTTTGAGTGATGCTCCTAACCGGTGCTTCCTTTCTAACGTTCTTCAGGGAATTCAGTTTCTAATAGAAAATGACCTGCTACAGAGTTCCCCAGAAGACGTCGCCCAGTTCCTTTATAAAGGAGAAGGCCTAAATAAGACTGTCATTGGGGACTACCTGGGTGAAAGGTGAGTTAGAGGAGGATGCACAGCTCTACCTGGGGCCACTCAGCCCTGCAGCTTGATGTAGGCTCACACTCCACTTTCGGGGCCATCACAGCCTAAAGGCCACAGGCTTGGGCATCCACATGCTTCTTCTCAATACCGAGTGAGCCCTGTGAAACTGGTTCCTCTCCCATGTCCGTGGGAGGAGAGAAGCATTGGGGCCAGATGGGATCCATGCTCATCTGGAATCCTTTTCTTAGAACTGATAATGCTGCTGCCCCTTTCTCCTTATCTTGGAAAGCATCTTATTGTATCTTCTGTTTTGCCCAGAAATATGCCAGATTTCTCATTGGTTTTCTTTCCCCTGTTACTTGTAGTATGAATAAAGGTGGAAAGTTAATTTTTTAAGTGGAAAGCAGCAAGTCAGATTTACTTTGACTTTCTGACCTCTACTGGCTTAGCAGAGGTTAGGGCAAAATGCTGAGGCAGCACATGCCCTAAGTGTACCAAAACAGACTTTTGTCAAAGACCAGAAGAAAGTGTTTTTAAACAGAAGCCCAACAGTTCCTAAATTTGGATGGTTTCTGTTTTTAGCTTTTTTTTTTTTTAAGTACTTGATCAAAAATGGAAAGTAGAATACTTCCCAACTCATTCTGTGAGGCCAGTACTACCTGATACCCAAACCAAAGACATCACTAGAAAACTGTGGCCCATATATCTTATGACTATAATATATAGGGAGCAATATGTGAAAAGGATTATGCACCAAGCAGGACTCATCCCATGAATGCCAAGGTTAGTTCAACATATAAAAGTCAGTTAAAGTAATATACCATGTCATTCAAATAAAGGACAAAACCCACATGTTCTTCTCAACAAATATAGGAAAAGCATTTGGCAGAACTCAAACTCTCTCACGATAAAAACACATGAAAAGCTAAGACAGACGGGGAACTTCCTCAACATCATGGAGGGTACCTATAAAAAAAAACCCACAACTTAACATCATACTTAATGCTGAAAGACTGACCGCTTTCCCCCTAAGATCAAGAACAAGACAAGGATGTCTCCTCTTAGCACTGCTGTTCAGCCCAGTGCTGGCACATCTTGCCAGGGCAGCTAGACAAGAAAATAAAGACATTCAAATTGGAAAGGAAGAAATTAAATTCTCTTTGCAGATGATGCAATCATGTATGTAGAAAATCCTAAGGAATCATTAAAAACTATTAGAAGTAATAAATTCAGTAAGGTTGCATGATACACAGTCATACAAAACTTGATTGTATTTCTATACAATAGCAAGCAATAAACTGAAAAAGATATTAAGTAAACAGCTCCATTTATAATAGCATTAAAAGGAATAAGATACTTAGGATAAATTTAACAAAAAAAGCAAGTAAACAGCTCCATTTATAATAGCATTAAAAGGAATAAGATACTTAGGATAAATTTAACAAAAAAAGCAACATTTTTACTCCAAAAACCACAAAACGTTGAAAAAAAATGAAAAGACCAAAATAAATGGAAAAGCATCCCATGTTCATGGATTGGAGGGCTTACTATTGCTAAGATGCCAATATTCCAACATTTATCTACAGATTTAATGTACTTTCTATTGAAATCCCAGCTGACTTCTTTGCAGAAGTTGCTCAACCTAAAATTAGTATGGAAATTCAAGGGACCCAGAATAACCCCAGAAGTCTTTTAAGAGCAAAGTTGCAGAACTAGCATTTCTCGATTACAGAATAGACTAAAGTGGCCAGGCGCAGTGGCTCATGCCTGTAAGCCCAGAACTTGGGGAGGCTGAGGCGGGTGCATCATGAGGTCAGGAGTTTGAGACCAGCCTGGCCAACATGGTGAAACCCCATCAACAAAAATACAAAAATTAGTTGAGCATAATGGCAGGTGCCTGTAATGCTAGCCACTTGGGAGGTTGAGGTAGGAGAATCACTTGAACCTGGGAGGCAGAGGTTGCAGTGAGCCAAAATCATGCCATTGCACTCCAGCCTGGGTGACAGAGTGAGACTGTCTAAAAAAACAAACAGCAAACAAACAAAAAACCATATATAATCAAGACAGTGTAAGACTGATGTAAGGATAGACGTATATAAATCGTGGAATAGCATTGAGAATCCAGAAATAAAACCCTCACATTTACTGTCAAATAATTTTCAACAAGGTACCAGGATAATATCAGTGGGGGGAAGAATAGTCTTTTCAGCAAATGGTGTTGAGATAACTGGAAATCCACATGCAAAAGAATGGCATTGGACACCTAACCAGATACAACAATTAAAATGGATCAAAGACCTAAATGTAAGACATAAAACTGTAAAACACTTAGAAGAAAACACAGGGAGAATCTCTGTGATCTCAAATTAGGTAGAGTTTCTTAAATATGACACCAAAAGCACAAATTTGTTGAACTCGTCAAAATATTGTGCTTCAGAAGACATCAAGAAAGTGAAGGCCGGGCCAGGCGTGATGGTGTTTACAGCTGGTTTATCAGCGCCAGATTTCTTTGGTCCTTCTCCACTCCCCCTGCTTCACTTGACTAGCCTAAAAAAAAAAAAAAAAAAAGTAAAAAGACAACCCACAGGCCATCCTGGGTAACATAGCGAGCTCTGCCTCTACAAAAAATACAAATAAATCAGTATGACTTGCAAATATCTTAATATAATATTTCTCTTTATATAATCTAGATATAAGTCCTTAGCAGATTATAAAGACTATCATACTGATTCAGTCCTTATAATCTGCTAAGGACTTATATCTAGATTATATAAAGAACTCCTCCAAAAAAGAGTAAAAATAACAAAAATTACTCAGTTGTAAAATGGCAAAGGATCTGAATAGACATTTCTGCAAAGAAGATATACAAGTGGCCAGTAAGCACAGGAAAAAAAAAATGCTCAGTTGATCATCAAGGAGATGCAAATTGAAACCACAATGAGATTCCATTTCATACCCATTAGGCTGGCTGTAATAAAAGGGACACGTACAAATGCCATCAAGGCTGCAGGGAAGTTGAACCCTTATACATTGCTGATGAGATATAAAATAATGCTTTGGAAATCAGTCTGGGAGTTCCTCAGAATGCAAAACATAAACTTTAACACGGAAGCCAGTAATTCCACTCTTAGATATTTACTCAGTAGAAATAAAAATGTGGCTAGATGTGGTGGCTCATGCCTATAATCCCAGCGCTTTGGGAGGCCGAGAGAGGTGGGATGATTGCTTGAGCCCAGGAGTTCCAGACCAGCCTGGGTAACATATCGAGCCCTGCCTCTACAAAAAATGCCAGTTTTTTTTTAAAAAAAAACCATATGACCATGCAAAAATTTGTGCATGAATGTTCATAGCCACATTATTCATAAACCATATCTTTTAAAATGATTGGGATAATGTGTATTAGATTTAAAACTGATTTCTTTTTTTCCCAGGGATGAATTTAATATTAAAGTTCTTCAAGCTTTTGTTGAACTCCATGAGTTTGCTGATCTCAACCTTGTCCAAGCCTTAAGGTAAGTGTTATCATTTGGTAGGTGTTGAGCGGATGGGGGAGGCCAGAGGATTGCTGCCTGAGCAGCAATGGTGGTGAATTGACTCCAGGTAACTCAGTCCCACACAAGTCTCGCAGATGCTGGCTCCTGTTCCAGATGATCCAGGTAATGTTGTGTGACACTGAATAGGTCTGGATAGGAATTGGGGCACGTGCTCAAGATCAGGGCCATACTCTCCTCACGATGGCCACTGGTGCTCCTGTTCATTTTGCTTTTGTTTTTAATGCTGTTTGGCAATAGTTCGAGCCTTCTTCCCAAGCTCTGTATGTAGTGGCATTGGTGCTACATGGGGTTACTTGCACCAGATTTGACCTCAGACACCAAACTCATGGATATCTGAGTGTACCAGGGAGGATGTAGGTTTCTCGCCATTGGGGGCCACCCCTGGCAGGCCTGTTTTTGTGTCTGGGATACACTCCCTGGATGCCTCCTCGAGCTGCCCTTCCTGCACATTTTCTCCTGCTCTGCAAGCAGGAAGTCGTCTCGCCTCTTACCTTGGTGCCCCGGCTGAGTTGTGGGGGCTCTTCATCTGTTCTGGAACTTGACCCTGAGCCAGCACTCAGCAGCATCCACGGGAGAGGAGACAGGGTCTCTTGTGGGAGCTGCCTCAGCCTGCCCTCAGCTGAAAAAATCAAGCCACGTCTTGTCATGTTCTCGGACGTTTTGCTTCTTACCCTGTTCTCGTTTACGTGGTCTGTTTCCTTGTGGCCCCTCCTCAAGTGCAGACTGCAATGTTGGCAGCGTTTCTGTGGGACCCTTGTGACGTGCTCACAGTGCAGCCTGGGGCTGAACAGTGCGCTGAGAGTTAGCAACAGATAAGAATCCGGTGGCTCAAGCCTGTAATCCCAGCACTTTGGGAGGCCGAGGCGGGTGGATCACGAGGTCAAGAGATCGAGACCATCCTGGTCAACACGGTGAAACCCCGTCTCTACTAAAAATACAAAAAAATCAGCTGGGCATGGTGGCGCATGCCTGTAATCCCAGCTACTCAGGAGGCTGAGGCAGGAGAATTGCCTGAACCCAGGAGGCGGAGGTTGCGGTGAGCCGAGATCGTGCCATTGCACTCCAGCCTGGGTAACAAGAGCAAAACTCCGTCTCAAAAAAAAAAAAAAAAAAAAAAAAAAAAAACCAAAAAAAAAAAAAAAAAAAAAAAAAAAAAAAAGAATCCTGCAGCCACAGTTCAGGCTTATCAGATCCCGTTTCGGGAAGCTGTACGTCCAAGAGGGGCACAGGCCTGGTGAGTCTGGGAGGGGCGTCTGGCACACCCCTTGCTGCTGTGACTTCATTTCTTTCAGTCCATCAGTCTCTTGCCAGAGCTGGAGAGATTCCTGTTAATTCCCACAGCTGTGGTAGCCTGGCATAGCCCTGCAGAGAGAGCCTGATGAAGGCATATTGGGGGCAGGGATGCAGGCAGGTCCTGTGGCCTGAGGAGCTGCTGTGCAGATATTGGCTTTTGCCCTAAGGGAAATGGCAAGCCTGTATGGGCAGAGGTGCGTGGGCTGACTTGGGACTCATCACTGCTGTGAGGTGGGCAGGGAGGCCACAGCAGTGGGACGGCAGGTAGGTGCATCTTTGTTGGTGAACGTGAAGCAGAGAGGGAGTGAGGGGTGACCCTGGGTGGCTGGCCTGAGAGTGGAGGAGGGGCAGTTGTGTTGAGTCTGAAGGCTACCAGTGCAGGCCTGGCGGAGAAGATGGGGCCTGGCAGAGAGTAGGGCCAAATGTGGCTGGAATCCCAGGAGGAAAGGGCAGAGGAAGGAGCCTGGGGGGCCATCTTGTGTGAGGGATGCATAGAGGAGCCCCGGCGAGGCCAGGCTGCATCCCGCCCCCAGTGGCTGGTGGGATCCATATTTAAAAACCATGGACAGCCCAGAGACTTAATTGGAGCCTTGTCTAACTCAGTCCTGATCCTTGTGCTAAATCCACAGTAGCATTAGACATAGCTGAGCAGCTGGTGGGGAGGCCACACAGCTGGCCATGGGGACTGCAGCCCCTGCCCCCGGGGCTCACACCTGGGCTGCCAGGAGGTGGATAAGGCAGGTAGTGGGGGTGGTGCCACATAGCTGAGGAAAGCAAGAAAGGGAAGCGGGTGGGGGGGTGCTCGGCTGGGGGGGATTTCAATTCCAGGCAGGGCAGCCAGGGAGACCTCAGTCAGATGGGATGCTTGAGGGTGGGAGCGGCTGCTGGGCCTGGTTCCTGAGTCAGGAGTATGTCTCCCCAGCAAGGCGGTGGCAGTAGCAACTTCAGGCCGCAGTACCCAGTGCGGTTGTGGGGGGGTTTGGATACTGTCCTGTGGACTCTGGCTCTGCCTTGTGGTTGGGAGTTCTGAGAGGAGGACGTGGTCCTGTTGAGGCTGTCGGGACAACCTGCTGCCAGCTCTGGGGACAGGCAGGGCTCTGGTGATCACCTGGCAGCAGCAGAAGATGATGGCAGTGGGGACGGAGAAGTGCCAGGATCCTGGACATTTACTTTTTAGGCAGAGACAACTAGCCTCGCCGCTGAATTGGTTGTAGTTATAAAAAGATGGACCAGTAAGTGTGTCTTGAGTTACCGAACAGAAGGAAACTGTCCTGGCTCTTCTCCTTTCTGTCTCTGCACCCCCAAGCCCCTGCCAGAGCTGTACCCCAGGCCCAGGAGGAAAACACCCTTCCTGAGCAGGGCAGAAGCTATCCTTGGCCATGAAGTGGTGTTGGTTCTGACACGGCCGTGCCTCGGCTTTGGTGTCTCCATAGGCAGTTCTTATGGAGCTTCAGGCTGCCCGGGGAGGCCCAGAAGATTGATCGTATGATGGAGGCTTTCGCTTCTCGCTACTGCCTTTGCAACCCCGGGGTTTTCCAGTCCACAGGTCAGTGCAGAGCTCACAGCCTGGCCCCTTGCCAGGCACAGCCTCCAGCTCTGGAGGGGGTGGCCCTGGCGGGCACAGCCTAGCGTGTGTTCCTGGGGCCTGCCTTCCCTGAGCGAGGATGACCTGTGGGCTGGGCACCTCTCGAAGGCCGGCCCCCAGCACTCGGGGTCCCACTGTCCATGGAGGTTCTGGCTGAGCCCAGCACCCCGGACTCGTTGCAGACACGTGCTACGTGCTGTCATTCGCCATCATCATGCTCAACACCAGCCTGCACAACCACAACGTGCGTGACAAGCCCACGGCAGAACGGTTCATCGCCATGAACCGTGGCATCAACGAGGGTGGGGACCTCCCTGAGGAGCTGCTAAGGGTGAGCTCCCCGGCCCAGGCCACTGCTGTCTGCAGGATCTCTTCGCTGTGAGCGGCCGCAGTGCCTGTGACTGTAGATGTGCCTCCCAAGTCTCCTTGCTGCCCTGATCCTGCTGAGCTTTACGCCTGGCCAGCCACTTTCCTCTGAATCGCTGAACCTGCTGCTGTTTTTTCTTCCTTGCAGAATTTGTATGAGAGCATTAAGAACGAGCCATTTAAGATTCCAGAGGATGACGGGAATGACCTGACACACACCTTCTTCAACCCTGACCGCGAGGGCTGGCTCCTGAAGCTGGGTGAGCCCTGGCTGAGTGGGACCTGGGCCATGACCCCTCTGCCCACGGCAGCAGCCCCTTGGGTTTCTCCCAAGCTCATTTTAGGAATGTCCCCCACTGCAGGCAGAAACATTAAAAAGAAACACAGTTAAGCCAGAGCCCGCTCTTGGTAACCACACGGCCCACGGCCGCTTGTCTGAGCCATGTCTGCGCAGAGAGTAATGCCCGGGCTGCATGGCCCATCCCAGAAAACTACTGAGTTAGCGTCCAGGTCCAGCCAGGGCAGCTTCCTGCACGAGAAGCAAGCGCATTATCTCCACAGAACCTGTGTGCCTCTCTCTCGGTTTGGTGTGGCTGTGATTTTTGACGCGTGGTTTAAATGTGCCTTCTTGTTGTTTTCCTTCTGCCTGTGGCTCCCACCTTTCTGTTCTGTGATGGGCTGTCCCTGCTTGTCCTGCTTTAGGAGGTAGGTACCCAGTGGCTTCCTGCCCCCCAGCGGCTCATTCCTCTCTGTCTCCCCACGTTGGTCTGTGTGAGCTCTGCTGTGTGGCTGCCATTCATCTGATCCATCTGTGGACTTGCTGGGACTGCGCCATGCACGGTGCGGTGAATGCTACACCTACCCTCAGGGGCGGGGCTGAGCGCGGCTGGGACCTGGAGCACATGGGGATGCTGTGGGGAACCGGCTTGTCCCCCACCCCGTGTATTTAGGGGTCTGCAGCAGTAGAGAAGCTGACAGCCAGCCCTGTCCCTGCGGCATCACCATCCACCCCATACTAACCCAGCAGCTCATGGAGGGATTTCGGGAGCGCTCTAAAGGCTTTTGGGGCAATTTAGGGCACTTACAGGTAGTTTTAGGAACGCTGACAGGCATTTTGCCTGAGGGGTGGGGATGGTTGCCCTATACCCACAGTGAAGCTGAGAGATGCAGTGACTGGGTTCACACAAGCCCTTCTGAGAGCAAGTGGCCACTGGGCAGCACATAAGACCTGGTGTGGAGCATTCTACTGATTTTTTAAAAATTTCATCAGCCGGGTGCAGTGGCTTACGCCTGTAATTCCAAAACTTTGGGAGGCTGAGGTGGGCAGATCACCTGTGGTCAGGAGTTCAAGACCAGCCTGACTAACATGGTGAAACCCCATCTCTACTAAAAATATAAATTATTAGCTGGGTATAGTGTTGTGCACCTGTAATTTCAACTGCTCAGGAGGCTGAGGCAGGAGAATCGCTTGACCTGGGAGGTGGACTCTGCAGTGAGCTGAGATTGTGCCATTGCACTGCAGCCTGGGTGACAGAGTGAGACTCTGTCTCAAAAGAAAAATTTATCAGCTAGATTCAGTGGCTCATGCATATAATCCTAGTGCTTTGGGAGGCTGAGGCGGGAAGATTGCTTAGGCCAGGAGCTGGAGACCAGTCTGGGCAATATAGTAAAACCCCGTCTTTACAAAAAATAAAAACTAGCCTAGCATGATGGTGTGTGCCTGTAGTCCCAGCTACAAGGGAAGCTGAGGCAGGAGGATCGCCTGAGGCCCGGGAGGTTGAGGCTCCAGTGAGCTGCGACTCTGCTACTGTACTCCAGCGTGGGCGACAGAGTGAGACCTTTATTCAAAAAAAAAAAAAAAAATTATCAAGGGAGGATGAGACACGGCATAATGGTGGTATGACAGGCACAGGCCTCCCCAGCTGATGGAATGGATGTGAACCCCATAGGCCTGCTGTCCCCATTAGGGTCTTTGACTTTGGCCATTGTTCTTTGACTTTCTTCTGGCTATGCTGAGGTTTAGGGTAGTTCTAGATATTTGCCTGAAAACCTAGCACCATGGCCTTGGGCGTGGGTGCCTAAGAGACCCGATTCAGGTAACGTTGTGCGATGTTCTAGAGTGAGGGCAGGAGGAGGCATGTGTCCGAAAACACCAGCAGGCACCCTGGACCAGGATCATTGGGGTGTTGGATTTGATGCCTCCCTTCTGGCTCCTGCATTGCCCCCTAGTGTCCTCTCGAGAGTCAGTGATGCTGTCAGCCTGCCTGGCAGCTCACGTGGCCTTTGCCACCAGGGAGGGGTCGGCTCTAGAGATGAAAACTCATGAATGAAATGAAGGCACAGCAGAGCTCGTGTTGTCTAACCTGTTTTCTGGTTGGGCAGATAAACAGGCCATGAAATGAGTGCACACGGCGTTCACGGGAACCAAGAGCTGGCTGGGCGCCAGGTGCCAAGCGGGGGCCCTGGTGGGGCTGGTGCAGCTGGCATGGTCTCAGTGTGGTGGGTGGTGCAGTGAGCGGCTACTGCTCCAGGGTGCTGGCTTCCTTGGCCTCTCCCATCCAGGCAGCCTCTGCATCCACTGTGGTCCCAGGAGCAAAGTCGAGACCAAAGGCTGGTGAGCTAGGGCCCTGGCTGGAGGTGGACGAGATGGGTGCAGAATCTAGAATGTGCTTCCAGGCGTGTGCTCAGCAGGGAGTGTGGCCTGGCTTAGTTGTGTTCTTACTGTAGATTTGCTTGTAGAGCAGGTGGTCTTGAAAAGGGCTGGATGCTTTGCCAGAGCATAGGAGCCCTGCCATGTAAACAGGGATGGCTTATGATTGTTGGTAACATAAGACTTTGAGTCTTGAATCAATTACCAAAAAAAAAAAAAAATCATAGGAGGTGGTCCAAGCTGAGCTGTTGTGGAGAAAGTGTGTGCACGTGCTGTGTTAATGCATGTGGACCCATGTGTGCATACCCACGCACATGCCTGGCCACAGCAATGAAAACAAACTCACAGAGAGAAAGTGTGGTTCCTGTCGGCAGGTTCCAGAAGCCAGGCTCTCATCTGTAGGTGAGGGTGTTGTGTGATGTGGCCAGAAACAAGCATGAGCAGAGCCTGCTGGGCTTTGAGACCAAGCACATCACCCCCCTGCCCCAGGCCTGTAGTTCCAGCCTGCAAAGATCCCCTGGCCCGGTGGACTGGACAGGGATGGGGCTCTCCATGGTGGGTGTGAGCGGGGGCCCAGGTTGGAGCTGAGAGGCCTCCAAGCAGACCCTTCCCAGGCAGGGGCCAGGCAGGCGGGCTAGTGCAACACACAGGCCCTTGGCTGTTCGCCATGGAGCAGGCACTGGATAGAAGAAGCACACGGCCTGGGAGCTCCTGGATGAGCTCCCCAAGAGCTCGAGACTTGGACAGCTGGCCAGGGAGGAAGGCCACAGCTGGTGAGCCCAGAAGGGCGGCCCCTGCTGCCATCCAAGGAGTTCCGTCTAAGGCCTAGTGCAGTAGGACATTTCAGGAGCTTCAAGCAGGGAGAGGCATGATTGCCACATGTGTTTGAAAAGATGCCTCTGGGCCACTGCTTGGGGGATGGCAGGTGGCATCAGTGCAGCTGGAGCAGGGCCTGCTCTGGAGTCTCTGGAGGGAAACAGAGGTGACCATGACAGTGATGGATGTCAGGGTAGTGGAGTTGCTGTCAGCTGATTCTGCCACAGCAGCTCCAGCTGGAGCAAGTGCCTGGAAGGAATCAGCACTGTCCTCCTGTCCTAAGGTCTCGGGGACAGAGAACGTGTCTCCCTGCTCACTGGAGGACTGTGAGACAAGGTGGGGTTGCCCCCAGGGTCTCCTGCCCTCCCTCGTGGACCTGGGCCCCCCAGTACGCTGCAGCCGAGGTGGGGAAGATGAAGGCCAACAGCTTGGCATGGAGCATGGAACCCTTGGTGAGACAGGCACACAAGGGCCCTGAGGACTTTGGGCCTTGCTGTGGGCCTGGCTGGGTCTTCAAGGGGATGAGTGAGGTGGACCTGCACAGTTGGGGCAGAAGGTTCCAGTGACAGAGCAGCTTGTAGGGGCTCAGGGAGTGGAAGCCCCGGCCAGGGCACAGGAGAGATGTTGGGAGGGGCAGATTTGAGGGCAGGAGAGATGCAGCTGGAATCTTGGGGGCGTATTTGACCAGACCAGGGTCTAGACAGAACCTTTAATGGGTGGGCTGTTGGGATACTGGTGAGACTGAGTCTTGGGGGCAGGGGAGGGCAGCTGGATGCTGGGCTCCTGTCCCAAGCTAAAGGTGGCAGCTGCATTGCAGGCTGTGTTAGGCATCAAAGGAGGATGGCAGCGCTGAGTGAGGCAGGGGACAGAGGGTCCCAGAGGGGCTGTGGAGACCCAGTCTGGTCTCCTGTTCTGCTGGGCCAGGGTTTCCTCCCACCTGCAGCTGGTTCCCCTCACCCATGGTCTCTGCAAACCAGGCCCCAACAGGGAAAGCACCCTGTGTCCTGGTGACCCGCAGAGCCCTTCTTCCACCATCTTGCCTCCAGGCCACAACACCTGTGCTGGCCCCCACGCAGGGAGGCCTGGGACCCTCAGCCCCGAGGGCTCTTCCCCTGCCCATCTGTCACAGAGAAAGCCAGCGAGCTCCTGCTGCTCCACGGCTGGGGAGTCATGCGGCAGAGAGGGCCTAGTGCCCCAGGGAGTACTTGAATTCATTGCCATGCACGTGTTTTTTTGTTGAATTATTTAAAAAACAAACACAGGCAAGGCTAGCAGTTGAAGTGAGTTTGTCTCTGCTGAATGTTTAAGGATCAGAGATTTCCTTCCCTTAGAGGAAGGCAGGTACAAATGGGGGTGCGTGAGTGTGCACGTGTGCTCCAGATCTTGTTACAAAATTAATTCAATCTTATGATTACCTGGGCCCAGGGTGATTGATTTTGATGGATCCTAGGGCTGCCTGAGGGCCTCCGTAATGTGATAACCGCCTGACACGGTGGGGTCAGGCCCTGCACAGAGCTGGGCGAGCAGTCCTGACTTCATCATGCTGCCATCTCATGTCGGGAAATGAGGCCATCCATCCCACTAACTCTCCCAGGAAGTGAACTGGAGCGCGGTCGTGTCATGGAGGGGGACCCTCGGTGCCACGGAGGGGGCACCGGCGTGGGCGGGGTGGATGCATGCGGGGCCCCGCAGTGGGAACACCGAACGACACCTAAACCCAAGCCTGGTGCCTGGCAGCCTTTCTGAAAACACAGTGGTCTCTGCAGGTCCAGGGCCCCCTCTTGGACCCACGGGCTCCCTGTGCACGGAGCGTGGACTCATGGGGCCCTTCTGTTTCTAGGAGGGCGCGTGAAGACCTGGAAGCGCCGGTGGTTCATCCTGACCGATAACTGCCTCTATTACTTTGAATACACAACAGTAAGTAAGGCCGGGCCTTCTTAGCCTCCTCCCAGCAGTCACAGAACTGTCCCGGGGTCAAGGGACCCTCAGGCCGGTGACCCACAGTGAGTCCTGCCGTGCAATTTTCTCTTGTAGGATAAGGAGCCCAGGGGAATCATCCCGTTAGAAAACCTCAGCATCAGGGAGGTGGAGGACCCCCGGAAACCCGTAAGCTCTTCCTCCTGCACCTTCTCTCCCACCAGCCACCTGGGAGCCATGCTTACTGCTTGTAGGGAACCTGGCCTGAAGCCCCTGTGATGGCCTCCCCTCTCTTTTTCTCCACCAGAATTGTTTTGAGCTCTACAATCCCAGCCACAAAGGGCAGGTCATCAAGGCCTGTAAGACGGAGGCTGACGGCCGTGTGGTAGAGGGGAACCACGTGGTGTACCGGATCTCAGCACCCAGCCCAGAGGAGAAGGAGGAGTGGATGAAATCCATCAAGTAAGCGGGGCCTTGGGGGCCAGGGTCACGCCCATCTTCTCGTGCCACTTGGAGGTGGGGTGTATGGTCTGGAACATGGACGCTTCCGTGTGCAAGAGCGGACCACCGTCTGCCTCCAGAAACCCTGGAGGGGGCTGACTGCCGAAGCTGATGCTCAGAGCTGAGCCTGCAGTCCTGTCTGAGGAGCCTCTGGCGTGGTGGGGAAGGGGACACGACCTAACGTGGGTGTTTTCCTTTTTTTTTTTTTTAAACCAGAGCCAGTATCAGCAGGGACCCCTTCTATGACATGTTGGCAACAAGGAAACGAAGGATTGCCAATAAAAAATAGCTTTCCTGGTAAAAGACCCAGCCCCAGCAGAAAGACACCGTGGGCCGCCCCTCCGCAGAAGGCGTGGCAGGGAGGCACCCTGCGGTTACTCGCCACTTCTCCAGAGCATACCGTGGCCCAGACTCATCTCCGAGGCCTCATGCTGTAGCTGGGGTCCTGGGAGGTGGTCGCCCTGCGGTGCTTGCTGCTTCTCCAGAGCGTACTGTGGCCCAGACTGATCCCCCAGGCCTTGTGCCGTGGCTGGGGTCGTGGTCAGCTGTGCGTGTCCAGAAGCATTTCCTTCCTGCGACCGTCCTGGTGCCCCAGGGGGAGAAGCCAGGACAGCAGCTCCTGCTCTCTCCACAGCAGACACGGGATGGATTCCACAGACGGGAGCCTCATCTGTATCATGCCAAACATGTCCACTTGTGGCGGTGTCAGCTGTTCTAGAACGCCACTGTTTTATAGCAAAACAGGAAAGGAAAAGCTACCAGTTTTTTATTCAGAATTTTTTTCTCAGATATATAGGATTATAGCTTTTATATGCCTTTTTATATGCTGAAATTATAACAAAAGATACTTTCTAACAGTAGTATTTTTAGAATGGCAGCTATAAAGTTAACTCCTGGACACAAATATATACTGTGCACTGAAAAAGTACCCATCTAGATGCAGCACCCAAGGAGAGGGCTGCCCTGGGGGCAGCAGGCGGGCTGGGGAGGGATGGCCATGGCGCTTGGGGGCTCCAGTGTGATTCCCCTGCAGCCTCCATTCAATCCAGGCTTTTTGGCCCCACAAATACTTTAAAAAAGCAAATCATTATAATGGTTAATGGTTTGGGGGTGTTTAGCCCATAACTGCTAAATCCTAGGAAACAGCTTTTTCCTTGGACACAGATGGTCCATACGTTGAACCACGTGAAACTGCTAATGTTTTGCTTAGACGCACACAAACGGCAGCTTTTCATATAGGTCAACGCAGTCCATGGGTTAGATCGGCTTTTGACCATATCGCACTTTAAAACCTGTGGCAAAATCAACGCTTATTTTACAGACCTTATCATTTGAACAGGCTTCTTAATGAATAGACACAGAAGGAAGGAATCAGTCTCACTCCATGTAGTGCACCGTGTCCTGAGAGTGGTGCTTTCCCTACAGGGAGGGAAGAACAGGCCATGGGTGCAGAGGCCCGGCACTTAGGGTTCTGGGAAGCTGAGAACCCCAGGTAGATGATGGTGCTGGAACTGGCGAAGCTCCATGTCTGCCTAGGAGGCCATCAGGTTGCTGTGGATGTAAGGATGCAGGTACCTGGTGCTCTGCTCTAGGAAAGGTGGATCTGGGCCTCACTTACAGAGAGGGGGCAGGGCTGGAAGGGGGCAGGGTGTGCTTGGGTTGACTTGGGTCGGTGGCAGACGCTGCTCTGTCTAGAGGACCCTGTTGTACACTGGGCCGCTGGGTTGGTGGCTGGCTTTTACTCTTCCCACCCTACCTGCACAGGTACACACACTTTGAATCTGCACGCCCTGGAGGGCATCTGCACTCCTGTGTGAAATGCACAGTCCAGGAGACAAAAACCTCAGGCAGTGTGTGCCCAGGTTTCCTTCTCAGCATCGGAGACTTCAGGTTGCCTTGAGGGAGGAGGAGGTCATCCCTGTGGATGACCTTGATGTAGCTTTAAGTCACACTAGACTGCAGAGGGGTTGGAGGCCAGAAGCCTCGTCCTGCATGAGACTGTTTCATTCCCAAGTTCTTAGGCTTTCTTACTGCACTGATACCTCACATTAGAAACTTTAGTTTCAAGAAAGACAAGTCAGCGTTCTTGAAATGCCTGGCTGGTAGATCTGCAGCTCTGGCCTCCAGTCTTCCATGAAAACAAATGCTGCCTGGATCCCCACCCAGACCACACACTGACGGCTGGCTCTGGAGGTGCCCACCCCTCAGGTTGGCCCCGCACTGAGGACTGGCAGCAGCCAGCTCTGTCAGCATGTCATGCTCGAATGAGCCGTGTCCTCCTCCTGACTGACCCAGGTATGATCTGGGGATGCAGAGCTTTGTGTGGTTTGGGTGTTGGGAGAAGCAGCAGGAAGGAGTCGCCGGATGATTAAGCTCCCCTGTTGGGGTCACCTGTATGAGTGAGCTTCACTGGGTGGTGGGCATCCGGGAGCTGCGCAGAGGCTGTGGTGCTGAGTTAGACTCAGGTACTTGGCCATCAGAGTGTTAGAAATCTCCCGGCTCCAGGCTGTGTTACAACAGTATTAGCATGAAGGCTATGCAGCCATCATGCCTGCTGAGCCCTGAGGCAGGCCTGATCCAGAAAACTCTGGGTTAGTGACTGCACAGGGCCAGCTGCCACCAGGATGGCCCTGAAGCAGGACATCTCTTTGTCCCTCACCCTGGGCAGGTGTGACCCATCACGATCACGATCCTCCTCCCCACCCCGATGTCTGAGTGCTGGGCTTGAATTGTTAGTCCCAACTCTGGCCAAAGACACACTTTCTTCCAGGGACAGAGGCCAGGAGGCAGTGAGGGAGCCCTGTGGGGAGGCGGCAGCTGCCATAGCCTTTCCAGCCTCTGTCTTGCTGGGCCCTGGTTCACATTTGAGTTTAATTGGACTGACCCTGGACCCAGACAAGCAGCAATGTCTTTGGGGTCACAGAACATTTTTTGGGCAGTTTAATGTGGTACCAAACAGTGAAAATGGGAGCTATTTATAGATGGAGCAGCACTTAGTGCTTCATAGAAAGCAATGCCTATTTTAAAGTTACAAATGCAGATATCTACATAGATGTGCTTTGCTGAGAAGTTAGGTCTGTGGTAAACCAGAGACCACAAGTTGTGACTTTCTTCTTAGAAAATATTCTATTTGCGATAAACATAGTAATATGTAAATAATGTACATCTATTGATTTCTGGAGTGTTATTCAATGTATATACTCCCACAGCTCGCATGAAGAAATAGCCTCTATCTATCGATATTTGGTTGTAAAGTGAACAGTAAGATTAAGATTGGAGGGTGGATGGCTGTCAGAGCTCTCGAAAATACTGTGTTCACTAAATAAAAATCACATGTTAAAACAAGACTGTCCAAGACTCAGTTCTTTGAAACAGATACTGTTGGGTCCAGCAAACCCCTCCGATTTTCCTTTGCCTGTCCCAGGCAGGAGAGCCTGGCCGAAGGTGCTGACCTCAGCAGGAACACTTGAAGGTTTTAAGAAAGTGAATTCAGATGACAGAAAGGAGTCTGGAAGCAAATGGGAAAAACAGTAAAAAAATAAGACGCAAAGTGTGTGATTTGCTGCCATTTATATACTATAGAAATTTTACATGCTGTATATTTACAGTGGGGCAAGTGCTTTTTTAATCTTTAAAAAAACAAAGATCAAACTTTAAACATCTCTGAACAACACAAACTGTATAAACCATACAGATTATTCAGATACAAACTGTATTAAATACAGTTTTCCCCACTCCATCTCCTGATGCAGGACCAGTGAATTATAAGTGTATCACAGTTTGATAGCATATCCATATTAAAAATAAAATCACAGTATGATTGTGTCTGTAACTAGAAACTCGAAGGGACCAAGCAGACAACTGAGACTCCAGTATCATAGTCAAGACAAGAGACGCTGTATCAAAAAGTGTCGTGTAATAGAAACATACTATAGGCTTACAAATCATGTCTGGGTTATACATTCATAATGTAAATACTCATCATAACTGGGAAATTGATTGGAACAGTTCCACAAAGTTCAAAAACAGAACTTCTCTATAAAATACATCTTCAAATCTTGAATACAACTAAAATAAGCAAATTAGTTTCTAGTATCAGACATTACAGAAAACAGACTGCTCTCGAAAGTCTAGGTGAGAGCATGTGAGTTTTTAAATAAAAGTCTTTAAATTAAATATACACACTGTCAGTTTGTACTTTTGACAATTCCATGGTTTCCCGGTTGGTCTTGCACCAGATGTCTAACTTGGAGGAACATTACATGAAATACAAGTAATCGACCTGAGTCTGTAATTAAGCAGCATTTGAGATGTTCTATTCCAGGGCATTATTTCAGTGGGATTTATATACACGGTATTTTACAATGGTCAGCAGTGGTAGAAAGTGTTCATCCATTTGGAATAGGGTAATTAAGAAAAGGTAAAAACTAAAAAAAAGTTCTCCATGGTAAAATCTGTACAGTATTTACTAAAGAAGCACCACGCAGATTGGAACAGTTATTTTCTATATTTATAATTTAAGCTGGGCTGGGGATGGCTTCTGTTGAACGCATTGAATCTGAAAGACAAGAGGCGCAGGGTTAGTAGAAGGCGGGCAGGCGGCTGCGCAGGGACCTGGTGAGTCCACAGCTTATCCCTGGATGCCCTGCCAGCTGCTCCCCAGGGCTGGGGAAGCTCTTCTTCCTTGAGAAAGTCACTCTCTTCCTAAGTCGAAATGAGGGAACTGGCAGTGCGGGGGGCTCAGCCAGGGAGGCGCCATCTGCTGGGCCGGGCAGCTGCCCAACCCCAGCTGCCGCCTCCGCCTCCATCCTCACAGCCCCTCACTCAGGAAGTTTAGCTCCTTAATTAGGGTTGGGCCTCTCCCTTGAGGACACATTGATAAAGCCTTTTAATTAATGGCCAGTTAATCCACAATCTTCACTTGGAAATTCATTTTAAATTCCCTTCGCTCGCTGACTACATGTGACAGACACTTCTGGAGAAGGTTTCCTTTCAAGGGAAAAATGGTTCACTGTCCCTTTTTAGCTCCACAAGACTCAGGTATGGAACCAGTGACTCTCTCAGGACCCCTGTGTGAAGTGACTGAACACTGCCCTGCAGTTCCAAGGTCCTGATCTGCCATCCAGCACCTTCCCATGGTTTTGCGTGGTGAGTCTCAGGGGCTGCAGTAGCACGGGAAGGGGGAGGGCTGGGGGAGGGAATGAGGCTCCATTCTCCTCAGTGAGACATCTGTGGAGGGACCAGGTCTCTCCCTCCCAGATGTTTCTCAAAGGCCTGAGGGCTCAGCTGTTGTGAGCCGGGGCTGGCTTTTCCTAGTGAAGGGCAAGGGAATGGGGAGACACTGCCTGTGTGAGGGATGCAGGTCTTCCCTGGCCAGTAATGCAAAGGTGATGAGGTGGAGTCTAAATCTGTCCCCAAGTGCATGGCCTGGGTCTGGGCTGGCTGGGAGCCTGCCAGGGCCTCTCCATGGCTCTGCCTACTCCTGTGGGCCCCGCCCCCAGGCAGAGCTGCAGAATTACAACTCCTCTGCCTGCACCCCCTCAACACCGCCACAAACAATGAGGAAATGGACAGATGGGAAACAGCTTACCATAACTAGTGAATTTTTTGTTTTGAGGCCGAGTTTTCAATCACCTAGAAAGCAAAGGTCAGGAAAGAGATTTTAATTATGGTTGCAAAATTGCCAGTACCCACACTCTGTGTTAAGTGGCTACAGACAGTCACTGCGGTTCCATGTGAGTGCCTGAGGCCGCTTCCCGGCCAGGTGAGCAGGAGTGTCCCAGCGTGCCACTGCTGCTCCCAGGGTTTTACCGACATCAAGGGTTTACGTGATGACTGAGGACCCCAGCCATGCCCATTCTTGGCTCCATCCAACCCACACGCACCTCAACATGAGGAAAATA